CTTCTAGAATTATTTTGTACAAGTTAGTTGGTGAAGCGTATACATACAAAAAAAAAAGCACAAAATGATGCATATTTGTATGACTTTCTTTTTCATTTTGTCAGAGGCAAGCTGAAAAGTTCTAGCCAGGAACAAACATCAGAAGTTAAGAAGAAAATTCTAGGGACAAATGTGCCCTACTACTATGAAAAAGCAGATGAAAGGATAGGAACAGATCAGAAAGGAAAGCCTAATATCCACAAAAACATAGAATATTATCAATCGTTTAAGAGAAATGAAGTAATATATCTGACAATTTACTATACCTTAAGATTTATCAGAGATGGTGCTATTTAGTGATAAGAATAATAGCATAAACGATGCAGTCATGCATGTCGGCTTGGATTTTAGGATTTTTTTCTGTGTTTGTGAAATTTAGTTTCCACACTATTTGATTTTGCATCTGAGATTGGCATGAAAAATACATGTTGAGTTTTTTTCATCTAAGTTGCTGTCAATCTCCATTTGAATTCGACATTACAATATATATGATAATTGTTCTACATGATGTTGAATAAATTGGAAACTTCTTTGAACTAATATTTTCTAGTTATATGTTCCTCAAGCAAGTCATTCATATACTATCATGGTTCATTATGTTTCATATTAAAAACATAAAAATACTACAAATATACAAAATCAACTGAATTGTATAGACATTCAATTATTCTCTGACTTTGCATTTGTACATAATTGGTCTTACATACTGACTTATCAAGGTCGATCCTGAGCTCCTTTAATTTGTAATGCAGGGATGCAAGATTCATGTTAGAACTGGTTACCAGTTCAATTTTCTACATTCCCTATTTAAACTCACACATTATGAATCAAAAGCATGAGATTGAGCATTATTAATTGTAACAATTATTTAACATGGCCGATATAAGCATCTTCTGAATAGAAAGTTGTTGAACCATACTCCCGATGCATGACACACTATCGACGGTTGAACCTGAAAAAAAAAAAGAACAGGTTGCATGACATCTCTTCATATTAAAGCTCTCATCATAGAAAAGAGACAGACAGATGAACCTCCACCGGAAGCAATGCATACATACCAACTTGAAAAAAATAAATAAAGAGAAAGATGAACTCCAGGTAGCAAAAAATAAAAAATATTCCCTCCTCCTCCCCTGCCACAGCTAACACCACTCAACAACATAAAAGAAAGAGGACAGAGGAATTGAAAAGGACTAGCTAAGCTAGGGCAAGTTGGGAGGAGGAGAGACTACTTCAGGCTTTGGCTAATATATGGCATCACATGATTGGATGTCATGGTTTTTATTCCTCATCTTGTGAAGCGTCAGAGAAGTTTAATAGTATAGCTAACTAATAGCTATTATCTCATGTTATAGCTAACATATACAGTAGATTAATTAACTTATAAGGTTGGCTCAATTTAATTTTTCTCTCATCTTTCTTTCTCACTACGAATTTAGCGTAAATATCTTAAAACATGTGTATAGTTAGTTCTATCATGAAAACCAACTCTCGTCACTTTTCTTTATCTCTCTTTCATATAAGTTTATAGTTATCGTATATCTCACTATATATAATCCTGCATATGCTACCTCAGCAGCTAGCAAATTAAGGAGAGAATAGTTAAACAGCCATAGGGCAGGTCAGCTCCAAGCTAGGGGCGCTGATCGAGCAGCTGGTGGTGGCCACGTTCCGGCGCGTGCTGGCACGGGCACCTCACGCGGCGGCGCGAGCGCTGCCACGCAGCTGTGCTGTCCAAGCTCGCCGTCGAGATTGGCTAGGATTTCGATGGTTTGTTAGAGAATAAAATATGATTAATATTTTATGTGTGACTTGTCATTTTAATTTTTTTTTATATTTTTTTCAAATAAAACGGACGGTCAAACGTTGAATAGAAAATTAGGGTTTGTCGTTTTTTTAATGGAGAGATTACGTCACTTCACCGGCCAGTTTGTTTTAATTTACTGCCAGAATGTATGCGGTACGGTGGCTGCTGTTGCATTGCATCAGGTTAGGAGATTTCATCAGGAAGATAACATATAAGTATATCGTCAGCACTCAGCAAATGGCAAAGTTGCAGCCGTTGTGCTGACCGCGGCCTTCGTTCGACTCTATTCTCGACTGCGTTCACCCAACTTAGCGAGTGTTATCTAGGGGTATAAAGTTTTGGCGTGTCACATTGGGTATTATATAGGGTGTCGTATGGGGTGTTTGGGCGCTAATAAAAAAACTAATTACGGAATCCGTCGGTAAACCGCGAGACGAATTTATTAAGCCTAATTAATCCGTCATTAGCAAATATTTACTGTAGCACCACATTGTCAAATCATGGAGCAATAGGCTTAAAAGATTCGTCTCGCAAATTAGTCGCACTATGTGCAATTAGTTAGCATATATTTAATACTTCATGTAGGTGTTCAAACGTTCGATGCGATATGGTGTAAAATTTTAGTGTGGGATCTAAACACCCCCTTAATAAAATTCACACTGGGGTTTTCCCCATGCCTCTTCATCTAATATCTGTGAAATGGCATCCATTGGTTACCGTGCTCAAGTAGCATCACTGAAAAAAAAATTCACTTGCCGATCCTTATAAAAATACGTGTCAAAATTTGACCTATAGAGGATGGGCCCTCGTGTAGGAGCAGGGGCCTAGGTTTGTGGCTTTACTCAACCGGTTTGGTTAAAAGTTTATTCTTCTTAACAAAAAGCCATGGGGTGGTCATTTCTCCGTTGGTCGAGTTTATTTCTCTAGCAAATTTTAAAATTGTGCATACACCATATGGCAAGATGTAGTAAGTGTGCTGCCTGCGGCCCATACTCAAATCTCCATAACACTCTTACTCTCAATAAAATTATCGTTAGGTTTCTCCTTTTGTACGGGTCTTTTCAAGTAAATTTCACAAAATTGTAGATTCTTTAACCAAACTATCACAAATATATATAGAGAGAGAGAGAAAGATCGAAGATATTGTATCATAAAACTATAGACTTGGTATTAAATTTATTAGAAAACTACGTATTTAAGATGTCTCTGTCGATGGGGAATACCCTAGACCGGATGAATAGGGTATTAGGGTACGTTGGTATGAGGATCTACACGATACGACCTCAAGCAAACAAGAAGACAAGGATTATACTGGTTTAAGCCCCTCGTAAGGTAATAGCCCTAATCCAGTTTATATGAGATTAATATGGAAAGACCATAGATTACAATAGAGAACTGGCGATTCCGAGATTACCGGCGAGATCCCTTGTCGAGATGGTTTCGACGAGATCTCCCGGCGGGTAGGTTTCACGTCCTCTTGTAGGCTATGGTGGTTGTGTTGGCACTATGATTCGATCCCCCAACCCCTTAGGAGGTGTGCCTTTTATACCGTGAATCACCTCAGTTTCCAAGTAGAACTCGGAAACTATGGACCCGTACGATATAATATAAACCTAAACCTAATCCTCTCCGAGAAGGACTATGATATTCACTTGTCTGTGAATATAATTTCCACAATATCTTGTTAATTTCCTTATCATATATGAAAATCATATCATACGCACGAAGGTATACCGTATCCGTATATTCCATAAGTCATATGATAGGAGGTATGCCTTATCCGTAACCATGACAGTATCAGAGAACTACAGATTAAGCATTAACTTTATAAAAAAATTATATTATTTTAAAGCTAAGTATCAGAAAACTACTGACCCTAGAGTATAAAACTCTATCACTACTTCTATGTTGGAGCTATAAACGGTGTAACTTTACAAACTAAACCTGTAGTTTTATTATAACTTTAATATTAAATTTGTAGTTTTATAATACCTCATCTTAATTAAATATGTATTTCCGTGGTAAATTACTACTAAATGTTTAGTACAACACTTTAAACTTATTTTTTTGATAATTTAATTCAAGTATCCGTTAATTTTACGAAATTTATTTTCTCTCTCTCTCGATCATCAGCAAGATAGTAAGGCATGTTTTGTGCATGCAGATTCATGCTGAGCTTGATCTGACAAGAGAACCATCGAATACAGTATACTCGTAGTCGCATCAGATGTTCACATCAGTGATGGCGAGTTAAAGGTTTTGGATGTGTCTGCAGGCTGCAGCTCTGCATGCGTATGATTAACTGAACATTTAAGTATTTGACAGGCTCAAACCATGCCACCAATGTGTTCAGGTAATGGTCCGACGTGTGATCAGTTCCGGCCTGGCCAGACATGCACACATATGATGCCCTTTATTTCTTTTTCAGATGAAAGGCATGGAAAGGTTTCTCTCCAGGATATTGCCGGGTAGAATGTAGCATTTGCTTAGAGTCATTAGAAAATAAAGAAAAGTTTAATCCTTAACAGTCTAGGGATGAAATATGGATGTGCTCTCAAATTAAGTTCAGCTCTTAATGCATGTGCTCGAGTCGCACCTTCAAAATACATGATTAAAAAAATAGAGGAAAGAACACAAAATTATAACACAGAAATGATCATTCGATTAGACCATGGAAAAATACAGGAATTATATGAGAGATACTCTAAGGGGATTGTCCCAGAGATTTGAGCTCTTATTATTTTTCTCCAAAATCTCTATATAATTGTCTATTTCATAGGAATTTCAAACAAAATGATAGAATTCAATCATTTGTTTCAAATATTTATATATGATTTTTTCTATAGGATTAAAATCATCCAAACTCCCTATGCCTTTCCTTTTCCTGCAAATTAAAGGGACCATTATGGAAACCAAATCGATTTCTAGGTTTTCCAGCTGAAAATAATTGGTTTTCTCTACTTCCATCACATCTATAAGATTAATCTGCATAGTCATGTAAATGTGAATCTTTTCTAAAATTCGTATCCTTGGCACTTGTTTGTGCACATGCCCGCTCAACACAGCGGCAGTATGATAACCAAGACACATACGCATATCAGACAAAAAAAAACAGTCTATCCGTACTAAAACAGATAAACAGACCACTCAAGTCTGAAACGAACATTTCCTAAAGATTCAGAAATTCTAGTTCTTTGTTTACTCCTAGCTTCCTTTCATTTCACTGTTCTGTCACAAATCACAGGAAACAAAATACTCATCGCCATTAACAGGAAAATATTTCTACAGTTTCCTTTGCCTACAGATTTCTATTTGCAAGTGTTCACTGTTCAGCATACAAGTTAAAGGGCATGGTGGAGCTACAGATTACGCCAGCTATGTACAACACATACATAGGTTCCCAATGTTTGTAGCCGTTAGATCAGAAAGTAATTAGGTCATCGTTTCCTAGACCGCTGCTTGACATCAAACTAGTTGTCTTCGTCGAGCTCATCATCAATATCATCAAGAATTGACTGGTTAATCTTCTTTCTTGATACCCTTCTGTGCTTTTTGAGTTGAAGACGAGGCTCTGCTTGCTTTACACCCATGACACCTGTTTTGTATCTGAAGCAAGACGTATATGTTTTCATTGTTAGGAACTTAGGATAGCAAGATTTAGCATATCAATATCCCATCTTAAATAGAAACTGTGACACAAGATCAATATCAAGGTGAAAAATCGTATGCGAGTTATGTGATTTTTTTTCTTTTTCAGTTAAGGCCAGTACAGATCAATATATTTTCTCACAAAGTATAGATTGTGGATTTGTGGAGCACCGTCACTCTTGCATAGGTGGAGCTAGCTAGGTGGCACTGTGGTCCATGAAACATATTATGATTTGACTCAAGGTTATAACTATAGTATATATATTGCCTAACATCATAAAAAGTTACATATGGACCACCATTTGATCTGGCTCATTACATCTAGATGGACCACCTTTGCTCTAAATCCAAGCTACGCCACTCTTGGTGGACATAGAATTTGAAAACCATGGCTTAAAGAACATAAACATTGTCATTGGTGTAAAAAGTAAATTTAGCTTCATAAGTCATCAAACCTAACACCGTACTAGTGCAAGAGAAGGCATGAAACATCCATCACGAAAAATAATTAAGAAATAAATACATCTTGATAGCATACCTGACATCACCCTCTCTTTTTGTTCCAAATGTTCTTAACTGGAATGATTCTCTGATTTTGATTTCATCAAGCAACTGTAGATAGTATGGATACCTTTCCCAGTCACCTTTCACAACACATCCACGCTCACCAAGGTGAACACAGTCATTAAATAAACATTTTGAGGGCTCATTCTCTGCAAGCATCTTTCTTATCTGGATAGCCAAATGAACATAATAAGCAATCAAATGACATAACAAACAAAAGATATGGCCTTAAAAGCACATTGTGCAAGCACAGAAGCTAAAATGAAGATCATCTAAAAAGGAAAGCATTCTGTAAAGCATATATCACGACACATAAATAGAATAACATACCTCTGGAAATGTTTCTGCAAGACCCTTCTTGGTCACTTTCATCAGGCTAGGCTGGTTAAATCCTGGAGTATCAGCAAGAAAACCTCCACCAGCTATAGGAAGCAATGAAACATGACGTGTTGTGTGCTTTCCTTTGCCGCTTTTCTTCGACACGGTACCGACCCGTTGTTCACCAAACCATTTACTATTCTGAAAGCGATGTGCGCAAGAAAGAGACTTCAGTGTCCACATCAAGAAAGGATTTGACACTGTTAGATTTTACAGGAACAAACTTGCGTCATTTTATAACAATGATAGGAGAAGAAGATGCCAAATCTAACTGACGTATGATTTCTAAGGTGTCGAGAATTTCTAGGATGTTCATATCAAGTGTGGGTTACGTTACATCATTCTGATTCTTTGCACGATTAGTGCCTCTCCAAGCCAAACTTAACAAATAATGTGTGAATCCCTAACATTATTGTCAGCATTTAACTATTAAGAATGACTAATCGATCACTCTGTAGTAGGGAGCACATGGTTTTTTTTTATTAGCCATGCAACATGGATGGTAAAGTGCATGTCCCAAAATGCAATATACTATCTATTACTTTTAGTTCTAAATTTATGTGTTTTACTCCAATCCAAGATTCAGAATTTCTTTCAAGAATCATCTTCATTACAACAAGACTAAGAAGGTAAATCGATAGCAAATATTAACTGGTTATATTTGTCAACAGCTTGTCCACTTGTTGCACTCAATCTTTCAGTTTGCTGCAAACCATCTTCGTTTTTGTTGCAATGAAGTTTTAGCTTTGCTTCATGAAACATGGCTATATGGGAATGACAGTACTGGGCATATATATATATAAATCGGTTCCGACTGTTGCAGTAGGAATTTTCTTTAGTGCATATCATAACTTCTTTTATTGCTGGAACTATGTTTTGTTGCAATAGCATATTCACCTCTTTATGTGGGAGAGCCCTTTTTTTTTTCTTATTGCAACTAATATGCTATTTGTTGTGGAAGAAATTTCCTTATTTTCTTAGCCTATATGATTTGTTGTTATCATTGTCCCTACATATATTTGTCACAATTGTATATTTGGTTTACTTGTATGGCACATAAAAAGGAGTAGAAAGATAAGGGGAACCTTCTCTGTGATAACATGAAAAAAAAATCATATGTAAACATGCCAGGCCCACCAAAAAAAATCCATCATAATAGTGGAGGCAGAAATATCAATGTTAGACCCATCAGAAAATGTTGAAAACTTGTAGCAGTTATTCGCCCATAAGAAACCTATTACTGAAAGCATGTGCAAAAGGAAGCTCATAAGAAATAACACGAAATTTTAATTGATGAAATATGCAGCAAGTTGCTTTCGTTTTTGCACGAAAAGAAGGCTACAGCTTGCAATTCTATTAACAGAAAGTGCATACTCGTTTTCTCTGCGACACATGTGCACCATAGATAACCTATGATGACACTACATTTGCAAGTCAAAATTAGCCCTCAATTCTTAATAAGATGCAAAGTTTAATAAAATTCATAATCCAATAGGCAGGATCTTGTGGGTAGCTAAAATCCATTAAATGCAGTCCGAGGAGCTCATCACTAATTCGTTACCCAACAAAGAGCAAAGAAACAATCACTAAAAATGTAAAAGGTCAGAGTGGAAGGGTAATTGTTGAAATAATTGAAGCAGGTAAAGGAAATGAATGACATAATAGCTACCTGCTCAACTAGTTTATGTATGGGATCTTCTTCTGAGATGTTCTGGTTGCTTCTCAAAGCATTGATCAGACTGGACTTTCCAACACCGCTTGGACCAACAATTACAGTTGTCTGTCCTTCCAATGTTTCTTCAAGAGCGGATAATCCTGATTTCTGATCAACACTTAAAAATAGTGGATCGTATCCCCAACTCTTCATCCTATCTCTCCAGTATGATATGGTCTGCATACAGATTAATATAAGTAATGATCTGAACTATGTAAATATGAAGTGAGGAAAAACATGAGACAGCACACAATAAATGGACTATCCTGTAAAAAACAAGTGGAACTATGATTCCATCATGATGATTTAAAAAATAATGGAGAAAATTATATAATGTTTAAGTAAAAAAGATGTACTCATGTACAGGCATCTGAGTGTTTTAGTAAACATACCAGCATCAAACTTAGCGCCCATTGTTAGCATTTACCATTATCAGCTAAACACAAAGAACATAAACACTATTGTTTGGTGAATCGAAAGGAACATGGTCCCCAGGATGTCTAGATTAATGTGTACATGTTGGATGAATCAGGGAATCAATATTATGTCCCAACCATGCTTACTATTGGCCTGTTTGGTCTTTTACTCAAAAAGGTTCCCGTAGTGGCACATTTGCATAACAAAGTATTTAGTTGAAAGTCACACGACATCCATCTGATACAGCTAAAATAACATTTCTTTCATTCAACATGAGAACACCAGAGCAACAGAAAAAGGTGGTTGCTGTTCCTGATATACTTTTGTCCCTTCAATTTTTCTTAGAGAAATGAATGTCCAATTCTGATAAAAAGGAAGTTGAACCAGTGATATGTATGCTATTGTGCTGAGCATATTAGTCCCACTGGCTCAGTGAGTCAGTGCAACCATCTTCAATCTTCCTAAGAAGTAAACGCACCAGGCGCCAGGGACAACACCCAATGTCCTATTGAAACTGAAATAAGTTCTTCCTCTACATTTTCAAGACACCTAATGCCCTATTGAAAATAAGTTCTTCCTCTACATTTTCAAGGGCAGCGGTGATCCCAAAACGGGGCACGGTGGGCTCAAGCCCCTCCTACAGTTGGTCAATCGAGCATATAATATATATTTCAATTGTAGACATGTTTATGCTTGCTAGAGAGAAGGAAAGGTAAACAATGAAAACATAATTTGGTTCTCTAATTTTTTTAACAACTACTACCTCTGTTTCAGGTTATAAGATTCATTAACATATATATAAATGTGGACAATGCTAGAAAGTCTTATAATATGAAACGGAGGAAGTACTATATATTCCCATGTATACTTATATTAGTTTACCTCGTTCCATTGGCAACCCCCTAAAATTTGGTCCTACGTTCCCCACTGTTCAGGGGGAAAACATTTCATTTGTCTCTTATATATTGACGATGTCATGGCAAATTACGAAATGAGCATCAGTACATCATAATCCGTAGTTCAATCACCAATGCAATGAAGAATGAACTATACAGCGCAACAAAGAGGTAACAATTTAGTAAGCAATTGAAATCGAAGAAGCAATTGTTGGCTACCTTGTCGTCCACAAGCTCGACCTTGTTGAAGACGAGCACGAAAGGTATCCCGGTGGACTCGGCGTCGACGAGGAACCTGGTGAGCGTAGCGGGCTCGGGCTGGGGCTGGTCGAGGGCGAAGAGGAGGACGAGGCGGTCGACGTTGGCGACGGGCGGGTCGGCCACCTCGGCGCGGCGCTCGAAGACGCCCTCGATCACCCCGCGGCCGCCGGCCCAGTCGACGGCCCCGATGAGCACCCTGTCCCCGACGAGGACGCGGCGGCGGATCTTCTTGAGGAGGGCGCGCACCACGCACAGCAGGTCCCCGCCCGGGCGCGCCCCCTCCACCCCGCGCGGCGCGGCGCCGACGATCACCCGCATGAAGTTGGCCTGCGACGCCGCCACCAGCCCCGTCGCCTGGTCCGGGAGCAGCTCGTCCGGGGATGACGGCGGCGGGGGGAGGGGCGCCGCCGCCGCCGCGGGGAGCAGCCGCAGGTGGAGGGGGCCGTGGTGGGAGGAAGCGCGGCGTGGCAGGAGGACGCGCGGGAGGAGGAGGGGGAGGTGGGGCAGCGTGGCCGGCGGCGGCGGTGGCGGGGGAGGGGGAGGGGAGGAGCGGCATTTCGCGGCGGCGCGGCGGGGGGTTTTTGGGTGAGGCGCGGCGCGCACCGCACGCACGCACGCGACGCCGGGGGGCGGATTTTTCTGGTGACGCGGGGGGTTTCGCGGGGGGTCGAGGATTTTCGCGTGATTTCGCGTGGAATTCTCGCGGTGTGCGGTGTGCGGATGCCGTGGGGTAAGGCTGGCTGACAACCGTGGTTTACCAAACATTTCGAAGTAGGTTACCGTCGCCCAGCGGTTCGACGGTTATCGTAATAACCACGTGATTACTGTAAGTTATACCGTAGTTTCAAAAACTGAAAATATTATTGTATATTTTATAAACCCTGGCTGATACGGACCATGATATCGGGGTGCAGGGTGTATCATTGATGGGGCGGAGCTACAACTAGCAGGATTTACAGGAACGTTACTAGACCGAAAGCTATCTTTGCGATGGAGCATAATAAAGCTCCTAAACCAGATGGTTTCCCAGCTGAATTTTACCAAAAATTTTGGGATGTTATTAAGCATGACCTGATGAACCTTTTTAATGTATTCCATACTGGTAGCCTCCCAATTTTCGGACTAAATTTTGGGGTACTTACTCTAGTTCCAAAAGTTAAAGAAGCAAATCAAATCCAACAATACAGACTCATATGCTTCTTAAATGTCAGCTATAAAATATTCACTAAGGTGGCTACAAACCGAATTGGCTCGGTTGCTGACTATTTAGTGAACCCGACCCAAACAGCTTTCATGCGTGGACGAAATATTTTAGATGAAGTCGTCATTATACATGAAACAGTTCATGAAATACATAGGAAGAAGTTGAGTGGGGTGATATTCAAAATTGACTTCGAAAAGGCGTATGACAAGGTTAAATGGCCTTTTCTGCTACAAACTCTGCGTATGAAAGGTTTTTCGCCCAAGTGGATATCTTGGATTGAGTCTTTCATTTCCGAGGGAAGCGTGGCAGTCAAAGTCAATGATGACGTCGGGCCTTTTTTCAGACTAAAAAGGGCCTTCGGCAAGGAGACCCTCTCTCCCCAATCCTATTCAACTTTATCGCTGATATGCTAGCCACATTGATAAACAGAGCCAAAACACAAGGGCAAATTGATGGAGTCATACCACATTTGATTGACGGGGGACTCTCCATTCTACAATATGCCGATGACACGGTGATGTTTATGAATCATGACCTTGAAAAAGCTCATAACATAAAATCAGTGCTTCTAGCTTTCGAGCAGTTGTTGGGCCTTAAGATCAATTTTCATAAAAGTGAACTATATTGTTTTGGTGAAGCACTTGATTATAGTGATCAATACAACCAGCTCTTTGGCTGCCAGGTCGGCAACTTCCCATTCTGTTATCTGGGCATTCCGATCCATTATAGGAAGTTGAGAAATACGGAATGGAAAGAAGTGGTCGAGAGATTTGAGAAGAAATTGAGTAGCTGGAAAGGAAAACTTCTTTCGTTGGGAGGACGACTTACTTTGATTAACTCAGTACTTAGCAGTCTCCCAATGTATATGATGTCATTCCTTGCAATTCCTAGTGAGGTACTTAAAAAACTTGATTACCTTCGATCTAGGTTTTATTGGCAAGGGGATGGACATAAGAAGAAATACCGGCTTGCTAAGTGGGACATTATTTGTCGTCCCAAAGAACAAGGGGGGCTAGGAATTCATGACCTCGAGATAAAGAATAAAGCGTTGATTAGTAAGTGGTTATACAAACTACTTACCACCGATGGAATATGGCAACAACCGCTACGCAATAAATATTTGGGATCACAACATTTATCTCAAGCCTATTGGAAAGCGGGGGGATTCACATTTTTGGGCTAGTCTTATGAAGGTCAAACATGATTTTTTCCGTTTTGGATCCTTCAAGATTAGGGACAGCTCCCAAGTTAGGTTCTGGGAAGACAAATGGTTGGGTAATGCCTCGTTAAGAGAACAGTATCCGTGTCTCTATAACATAGTTAGGCATAAACAGTCGACTATCGCACAGATTTTCCAAACCAATCCCCCGTGCTTTTCATGGCGACGGGATTTAATTGGTGCAAAACTAGCTGCTTGGCATAACCTATTGCCTCGCATAGCTGATTTGGTTCTGGTACAGGAGCAAGATGAGTTTCACTGGAACCTCACCCCGAATGGGGTCTTCTCAGTCAAATCTCATTATCTAGCTCTAACACATACCGAGGTTCTGAATATCAATAGACGGATTTGGAAGGTGAAAGTACCCCTAAAAGTTAAAATCTTCCTTTGGTATTTACGTCGGGGCGTAATTCTCCCCAAGGACAACCTTGCTAACAGAAATTGGAAAGGCAGCAAGACATGTTGTTTCTGTCACAAGGATGAAACTATCCAACATTTATTCTTTCAGTGCCGCTTATCTCGCTTGGTGTGGTCTATAATTCATTTGGCTTCTAATCTGAAACCTCCTCGCAATGTTGGTCATATGTTTGGGAGTTGGCTATCATGTGTCCCCAAAGAAATGAGGAATCTGCTTTTGATGGGTGCAACAGCTCTGTGTTGGTCCATTTGGCTAAGCAGGAATGGAGTAATTTTTGATAACAAGATGGTGTCTTCTCCTTTGCAGGTTATCACCTTAGTTACCCGGTGGCTACGTACCTGGGCTATCCTCCACCAACCGGGACTGCGGGATACTATTATAGTGGTATCTCGACGTTTGGACCAGGTGGCACAGGAGTTTTTTACCCAGGAGCATGGGTGGCAGTTTAGTCTATGGATTGATAGCCACTAAGATATACGGTGGTATCTCGACAGTTGGACCAGGTGGCACAGGAGTTTTTTTTACCTAGGAGCATGGGTGGCGGTCTAGCCTACGGATTGATAGCCACTAAGATATATGTTTCCGTTAAACTTTTGTGCTTGGGAGATGTTCTAGTTATTTCTTTCTTCTTTTTTGGCGGTGTGCATTTTATGCAGAGGCCGGGGGTGACTCAGTTTGATTGTATCATCTTGATGTAATTAACTGAGTCTAAATAAAGCTTCCATTATCTAAAAGACCGAAAGTCATGGGTAAACAGGCAAAAAGTTATGGGTAAACAAGCAAAAATAAAGGGAGAAAATTTGGGATTGTGAACCTTATTGAATTTGATCGGGAAACTGAGTGGTTTGTTTTATCTAGAAGTTCGGTCGGTTTTTGTTCGGATTGTGAACCCTCGCTAGTATTGTCACCTCTCGTAGCTTGAGGTTTACCATGGCCGTTATCTGGTGGGTGGATGGCTGCATGGGTTATGGCTTTTGAGCCAAGCCCATCGGTTGGCTGATTGGATTGAAGCCATTCAACCCAAATTAAGCTGCTCTATTCGCTTAAGATTCTGAGACGTAGTTGGTTGATAAGAATCTGGAAAATGTGGGTTTCCCAGCTTATGACTTCAAGTTTATTTTTTAGATTCTACAACTACAGCTTCTCAATATCTAGATTAAAAGTTGGACTGTTTGGAGGAGCTTCTGATTCTGCCAGAAGTTTCAACAGCTAGAATCTCCCCCCAAGCAAGCCCTTAATCCACTATGGATTCCATTACTGTTTCATATAGGTACCACTTTATTTGGAACCAGCTCCTTCTAACTTATTGTACTCGACTCTGATTTTAAGTAGCTGACATGTGAATCTCACGATTCTGGGGTCATATATCATTAACCCATGTCATAGGACAGTAAGTCAAAGAAGCTTCTTCTCCTTATTTATGTGCTATCTGTTTCTGCTCAACAAAGCCAAATCAATATGTTTCATTTGATATGATTGACATGATATCAAACTTTACTCATAAGGGCACCCACAATTAGGGTTTGCAAAACCGCCGGTAACCACGCGGTTATTGTGAGGGTACGGTAAGAAGAAAACCGTTGTAACCTCCTTAAATTTAAATAAATTTAAAAATAATTTGAAATTTTGATAAATTTTACACGGTTTCATACTGTTTGCCACGGTTACCGCGGTAGCCGTGCTTACCGTCGGGGTGCGGTAACTCTAGCCCCGACGGTTTGGGAAACTCTACCCACAATGTTATAAAAACCCAAGTAGTAAGCACTAAATGACTACTTACTACCTGGTATTAACCATTATGAGAGTGGTACATAGTTACAACCAGGTAGTAGCACTACTACCAGTAGCAAAGGAAAAAAAATGGCATGTGCACAGTGTTTTTGACAACAAATTTAAAACTGCAAGTTGTCGTTGCTCCTCCCCCAGCCAACCGTTGCATGGTATGTGCTTCTTGCCATCTTCATCCTTAACAAAAAAAAAACAGGGATGGCTCAAGATTTCTTTTCAACACAAACACATTTCTGTGAATCTTTGCTAGCTGGGATGGATCCCTCCAAGAGAAGTTTCATGAACTTGTTAAACCAAGGCTCCCCAAACTTTCTCCCAATCATAATTTCCCCAATCCCCACAGTTTACCTATAGTCGGGTAACGGAGATAATGGCGTCGGATGAAGGGATAGCATCGCCTAGTTGCAGAGAAGGAAGGGTTTGCAGCGTCGATGGTGGGGGTGGAGCGGATGCGGCATCGGGTGGCAGATATAGAGGGGATTGCGGCATTGGGTGGCGGGAGAGGAATCCGGTGTTAGTAGAGGGGCGGAGGGGTTTGCGACATCAATTTTTGGGTGAGGGGAGTGGATTGCCGCATGGATAGGTGGGGACGGAGGGGTTGGCAGCGTCGGTGGAAACAACGAGAGGAATTGGGGATCGATCCAGAACTCGCGTGAAGGAATTGAGGAGTGCCGATTTTTTTTACCTTATGGACCCCACCTTACTTCCATCTCGCCAAAATAAGTATTGTGGAGGGGGTCTCCTCCTACTACCGCCTGTCACTTTGTTCCACACTATCTAGCCACTTAGTCGCGCTTTGCGCGACACTGAGCGTTAACCTAACCTACATATATAATTAGATCATTGATCCTGACATTAATTGAAGGTACCAGTTTCATAAGTACGATAATTTATTTGTTCTCAAATATACTCCATTAATTCCTATATATAAGTATTTGTAGTTTGTTTAGTAAATAGTAAGATTAAGAAGGAATGATCTATTTCAGTCACTTACTATTAAATTTTGAACTACGATTGGCTCTTTCTAAACACATGATTTGGTTAAAAATGCTTAAATATGCATTGAAATTGGTGTCCTAGAAATGCTTAGATTTCTATATAAAATTTGAATCATAGAAATACTTATTTTGAGATTGATGCAGTAGCTAGAGATGTAAATGGAGGAATGCTGTAATTGATTGGCATTAAAAAGTAGGCAAAGAAATTAAATAGGATATGACTATGTTGGTTAAGATGGGGGAGTAGATGTAGAAATAGCTATATTTTACGCTAAATTTGAATGTTAAAGATACCTATATTATATTTTAGAACAGAGACAGCAATAACACTAAGTGCTCGCAAGTGTAGGGTGTGCATATGTGCATTGTAGTGCGTACTACTCAGTTGCTGTGTGTTGCTCCAATACCAAGCAAAAGTAGTATAACAGAGCATTTACATGTACACTCCCATACATTATAACTTGCATATAAATTCAACACAAATTTACGACTAAGGCCTCATTTGTTTCCCTTTATTTAGTCAGGAGATTAATTAAGCAAACATATATATAGTGTTAAAAATACTTTTTTGAATGGTAGTGTTAAATAGACTAAGCACATGAGTTCTCTGCTTTTTGAGGTCTTTAGTCTGGAAGCATCCAGATTGGTCCAATGTGTTTCCACTGTCATAGATGAGCATGATGATCTAACTGTGCATTTTCATTTACCAGTTCATCCAACGGTCCATACCATTGTAGATGATGTGGCTCATCCTGCATTCAGAAAGCATGTTGCTTTCATATATTTAGATACCCATGTTGATAATATACATTGTTGTTGCCCTAACTTAGGTCCTTAATCATTCATTATTCATTTGCATTTAACTTTCATCTAAGATATTAGATATGATTGACCATTCCACCATCCACAAACACATTGTCCAATCAATATATATATATCCGGCAAATTTTAGCCAACCAAAACAAAAACATGTTATACTAACAAAAAACAAAATCTTATTCATCATTTCATTCGCCCTCTTTCTGTTACTAATAAAAATTGAATCCACAAACTTAGACCACACGGATTTAACTAATTACTCGGCCCCTCGCGCGCGCGCGCGCGGTACAGGTACAATACAACTAGAAGCACAAGAAGCAGCTGCATTTCTTGAAAAACAAGAAGCCGCCTCGGCAGTGGCCGCCGTTGTTGAGCTCCAGGATGCACGCCGCCGTGCACAGCGCCTCCAGGCACGGCCCCGTGTACAGCGTCTTCTCCATGCACTCGCTCATCGCCTGCGCGCCGCCGGCCACCCCGCCGCCTTCCCATGGTGGCCGACTGATGATCAACGCCTCGGCGACGACGGCGGTGCTCTCGCCGCCGGCCGGCTGGTCACTGGTAGTTGGTACGATTTGCATGTTGTTATTACCTGCGACGGCGGCGGCGAGAGGAACCACGGCGACGGCGACGGCGAGGAGAATGATCGACACGCGGCGTTTCTTGGAGCCATTTTTTTTTTGGCACTGTATATTAGTGATGAAGGTGAAGGGTAGTGTTCTAGGGGGGCAATGGTCTGGGATTTATAGGAGATTTGGATGATGATGTTGCAGGAATGGATATATTCATATGCTCCTAGCAAAAAAAATGAAAAAAAAAGTAGGTGCACATTAATACAAGAGAAGAGGAGTTTTGGATTGCCAAGGCATTTAAAAGGACTATTAAATGGGAAAATATACCTGTGGTTTCAAGCAAATCTTCCAAAGAAATTAATTGTTCGAGTATGTGTAGTTGATTCACTGGCTAAGTGGTATCATATCATTTATACTAGGGTTCTACTATACTAAAAACCAAGGACTTCCTGTTGCAGTAGAAACGCATGTTGCTATGGTAAAAATTTGGAGGCCCCCACTGTTCAAGTTGCTATAGTTGCTCGACGCGCCACTGTTCATGGTGTGGCAATACTCATCGCACCGTTGTCAAGAAATTGTTTTAAATATTTAGTGACTGGGGTTTTGATTTTATAATTGAAATAAAAAAGGGTAAGAAAAACTCTGTCTACCACAGGGCCACAGAAAATTATGCATGCAGACAGCTACTCCTCCGTCCCACTCGATAATATAAAAATTCATATTTGATCAATAGTATTTTATTATAAATTAAATTTTATTTGATAAAAATAATATCATTGCAATGATATTAGAATTTACTTTTATATAATATGAATTTATTTTATACTTTATTTGAGAATTGTAAAGTTAAAGATTAATTTTAAAGACCAAGCTAAGTTTAAGCGAGCCTTAATCAGAGGGACGGAGAGAGTACGACTTAAATGAGTATGGTAAGACCATGGGTTTAATCAACTTCATACTACTAATATGACATGCAAAAGAGAGGAAATTCCATTTGTACATTCTGGATCATAAATGGCACTAGCTGTGTGAATGGTGTGATCCAGAATCACCAAAACAGGAGAACACCGTAGCACAAAGAAGAAAGATAATAGCTATAAACATGAAAGAGTGTCTTTGATTTCCGTCTTTTCATGGCTGAGAGTACTTTCAAGGAAACATATGTTACGGAGTACATGTTTGAACAAAAGTGTTTCTTACCAATTCACATCCATACATCTTTGTTGTATCGCAACACATAACTCTTGCAAATAATAGCCAGTGTTCATGAAGCATTTTAGCATTAAAAATAAAAATAACTAACAGTGACGGGATAAATCAGTCTAGCAATTCATGCAGTATTGTTCACTAAGCATGCTTAAATTTATTCAATCAAATAATAATACAAAAAAAACTGAAGAGCACTAACTAAACTGCCTATCAACCAAAGATTCTACATTTGAAAATGAACAAGGGCTACAAAATGTAGAAACAGGTCTTAAAAAATACAAAAGATTTATCTTGGTGTAAGTTTCTCCAGCCATGACAAGATAATCCCAGCTCCTTTATCCCACGAGCAATCAAGCATCATATCATGGGCTATCCCTTCGATGCAGACTGGTTGCACATTATAAAATCTTGCAGTTTCTGAAAGCCCTTCAGCATCCTAAATCAAGGAAAATGAAACAGTCAAGGTGGAATGCAAACAAGTTTACACTATACAACTGTAAAGAAATAAATACGGTATCTACAGAGAGAAAGAGAGTTTTTTTTTTGGGGGGGGGGGGGTGCGTGTGTCCCTTACAACAATGAAGTCACTGCTGGCGCCCACAACGAGGATGTTTACTGTATTATTTGGCACAGAAGCTACAGGCAATGATGCATTGAGCTTCCTTAGGTCAAATAGTGGTAACTTTGAGCTGTCCTTCATTAGCCCTTGGTACCTTCAAGATATTGACATAGATAATATGTCATTATTGAAAAAAAAAACACATTTCAAATGTAGAAGCTCTTCCATAGATGTCATTATTAACTGGATCTTTGGTGTGTAACTAAGCAGATGGCAGGGGATTGATGGTTGCTTATCGCTGCCAATACACCAAAACAATGTTTGCATGTTATAGAATGGACCAAACTAAAAGATCACCTAGTTCAGATTCTAATTTATTGATTCTTTTTTAATCCATCTAAAAGTCATTATAATAAAATACCAGGTTAACCAGTTCAGGTGACAGTAATAACAACTACTTCATCTGTTTCATATTATAAGACTTTCTAGCATTGCCCACATTCATATATATGTTAATGAATCTAGACATATATGCGTGTCTAGATTCATTAACATCTATATAAATATGTGCAATGCTAGAAAGTCTTATAACCTGAAACGGAGATAGTATCAAGTAATGACTAATGACCAATTCACTAGTACATTACCACCCATATAAAAGATTCCCTCCAGGTATATGGCCTAAATTTACAAAGATGAAGTCATTTACTATGAAGAATACCTTTGGACCAGGTCATCATCCATCTCTGGCGAGAAAAATGTTTCCTTACAGAGGGACAACGAATTTGCAAATCGTTTTGCAGCCAAGCTGAGTGTCACCTGATTCAAAGATGCTTAAGATTTCACATATCATCAACAATGCATAAAGGAATTGCAAACAGCATGAGGAGGCATATACACTTCTGGGTGTGGATGACCATAATTGTGATATCAATAGCAGTCGACTGCTTATTAACATAATAATTTGTAAAATGGAATGATGAATCAGGGGTTCAAAGCTATGAAACAAGGTGAACAGATTACCAGCAAGACGTAAGCATGGTACTACATAGCCAAACCAATCACATTAATATGACAAAGTTTATCTAATTATAGGTTGCTTATATTTCCTTGAACAACAAGGAGGACACATGTTGCATAGTAGTATAAGTAGTTAAGTGACTGGCAGGAAGTTTAAATATATAAAAAAGAGGTGATTGGCAGGAATGGATAAATGTTTCAGCATAATTCCACGAGAGGATAAAATGAATGGAATTTCAAGAGAGCCAAGTGATAAAGATCAGGTTAATTTACCTTGATGGCAGCAACTGGTTTGGTCAAAAGGTAACGCCACACCAACCCACTGTAGATAGATAACACAAAGGAGTTAAACCCAGTTATGTAAGACAAAGATGTAACATTGCAGTGAGTTAGATGAGAAATACCTATTTCCTGAGGGAGGCACAGAGCATACAAGAACAGCACCAGCAAGCTTTGGATGCAGAAGTTCTGAACCTTGGAATAAAAAAGTTAATAATGATTAACTTTTGCATGAAATAAAACAACTATTACTGCCACAAGCTCAGACCATAAGCTGCTACATCAGAACATAGGTACCAGTACCACTACCACTCATTCCCTTCAGTTCACAGAATAACTCACATTTTTTATTACTAATTTAAGTAATCAAGAATCCATTGAGAAACCTTATAGTAATTGGCAGTTTGGCATATCTATGTGATTGGAACTTTTAAGGCTCTTGATGATGAAAATTCAGTTAAGAAGAACTGAAAAATATTAAGAACACAAAGAATCACCAGGTTTAATACATAGGTTACAGGAATTTTTTCGATCATTGAGAGGGCATACCTCCCAAACAAGATATATATTGCTGCACAATCAAGCCTCCAAATGAATGTCCAATCAATACAGGTGGCAGGGAAACCTCCTTCCGGATGAAATCAGCAATATCGCCAGTATGCGTCTACTGCAAGTTAATTTAATATTGGACCAACTATATTGAGATGGTGAAATGGAATACCCTAATAAAAAAATATTTGTTACAACATACTAATTTTCTCAAGTGACACATCTATGCAACTCTGCTGAATGTACTAGCTTGATATCTCCTAATATATTTATTTCATATGATATTTATAATTAACAAAAAACATCTAATGAAAGGTCAGCTGAAATTAATCATATATCTTAGATATATGAAAGTTACTCCAAAGGTGGTGGAAAACGAGGATTTGCCAGTTTGCCACCCTATCTCATTGACAAGTGTGTCCTGGTCCCACAAGTCAATAGACACATGAGTGGCAAATCCCCAATTGCCACCCAGAGGAGTAGAAAAATCCTCAAATGGCATGCATCAACATTAACCATCTAGTACATAACACATAGCAATATTTCAGAGTTGGAGAATTCAGTCCGATTATGTTTCTCAGAATTACCTCAAGTGTGCCAGCCACTTTTTCTGGCGGAACGCTACTTTCACCCTGCAACAGCACAACCAAGTCAATGAAGCATTACATACCAAGGAAAAACAGTCGGACAATCAAAAATCAAGACATGCGATCAGTCATTACTCAAAAACTGAAAGTGTCGAATGCTCTACAGAGCAGAGAGCAGTATCAAGACTGGGCAGCAACAGACACGCTATGATTCATATCCTTAAGATTAAAGTGCACACACATAGACCCCATAGTTGCATAAACTGCATTTTTTTAACTGAAATGTGAGTAATGCCACGCTGTTTTACTTGGCTTGGCTAATATATAGGCATTCTAAAAGAGCGCTGCTACAAAACGGGATCCCGTTGCAACGGGATAGACATATTAACTATTCTCTTGCACGAGTATCACAGATATCAGGTCCTAGATATCATATGTACCGGGTAACAGGTATCAGGGTACCATGCAGCTAGTACCACAATAGGTATCAGGTATTAGGTACTGTCTCATAGAAGGGTATCATATTCCAACGGGATACCGTTGTCTAGGTTTTCTGTTCTCAAACCGTAAAACGATCAATCAATAGGATTATTATTTTTTTGTCAAATGTTTTTAACTTTCGGTTTAGGAGACGGAGATACGCGTGTTTCTGCCAGCGCCTAGAATGGCTAGAAGTAAAATAGTCCAACACCACAGCCATGAGGGCCATGAAGCAATGATCCTCCTCCCCATTAAGACATTTCAACAAACACTTCGCGGGGTGTACACAAGTGACTCCACCTGACCTGGGCGCGGAGGCTGAGCGCGTAGCAGGGGAACCCGGCGCTGGAGAAGAAGGGGAGCCAGTGCTCCGCCCAGCACCACGCCGCGTGGAAGCTCCCGTGCACGAACACCAGCGGCGGCCTCGCGGCGGCGCCGCCACCGCCCGTGGCCGGGGCAGGCGGCTGCTGGGCGATAACCTCGAGGTCGAGGCCGCAGGGCAGGCGGTGGAACCGCTGCGACTGCCCCTCCCGGAGCGCGTAGGCGCACGACGCGCGGAGGAGGAGGGGCCTGCTCCTGCTCGTCCTTGCCGGCGGCCGCCGCGCGCGCAGCCGCATTGGCGGCGAGGCGGGGAGGAGGAGGGTGAGGGTGGCGGAGGCGGCGGGGGTCGCCATGGCCATGGGTGGTGGCATTTTTGGTGAGGAGGATGTGCCGATGCGGATGACGGCTGCTCTGCTCGCGGGGTTGACGACCCAAACATAAATACTTTAATCATTAAAAAAATTAACATATGATTAATTACGTTTTTGGCAAAATTTACTTCAGAACACTCAAAAAGATATGTAATTAGCTATGGGACACCGAAAAAACGTAAATTGGCTATAGGATATCGCAAAAAAGTAGTAATTAGCTACTAGACACGGAATACATTATTTTATTATTTCCAAACAACAGGGAGAGAGAAACAATCGTAAAAGACTAAATTGCCCTATGAGTCTAGCCAGGTCAACGATTATGTGGGTCAAGGATGTCAGCCTCTCTTCTATTTTCTTGTTCTCTTCCTCCCGACGAGACACACCGTGCTGCAGCGCCGCCGACGCCGTCCTTCTCCGCCGCACCGACGCACGCCTCGCCGTCACGCGGTTCGTCTCCGTTGCATGAACGGAGCAGACACAACTTTGGGCGGGCCACATGACGACGAAGAACTGCTGCCCATCGGCTGTGCCTTGCACGGCACTGCACCGCGAGCTGCTGGCCGCTAGCCGCTGCCTGCACCCACGCGCCCCATCGCGGCCACGAGTTGCCGCAAGCTGCTGCACACCCGGCGCGGCGCCATCTCGCACGGCCAGTGCACTACCTAGCCGAGCAGCCCCGCATGACGCCGACCACCGTGCCTGCGTCGCAGCAAGGCCGTCGTCGCCAGCCACACCGCAATCGCGCCGCTTCCGCACCACGCCGCGCACGGGCCCGTAGTCGGCCGTGCCTGCACCCGAATCCAGCGCCGGCAACCCCCTCCTCACCCAGGCATGGTCTCTGCGCACCCGCATCGTGCCGCCCGGCCGCGGTGCTCTTTTCTCGCGCGCACTGTCCTTCTCCGTCGCGCCGTCACGCAGCGTCGCTCCAGCTCCACCTTCTCGTTGTGCTGTGCCGCACTCTCCGCCTGCTCCCTCGCCACCGCCGCCGCGGACACCCGCGCTGCGCAGCAGCTCGACGTCAAGGACCAGAAACTGGAGCAAAACGACACGGGGGCATTTCGGTACTTTTACCATTCTTTAACTTCCCGTTTCCATCAAAAATAATAAAAATAATGTCACCGGTGTCTAGTAGCTAATTATCATTTTTTTCGGTGTCCTACAGCCAATTCACGTTTTTACGGTATCCTACGGTTAATTACACATTTTTTGAGTGTACTATAGCAAATTTTGCCTAAGTTTTAATTATAATAAACTTAAAAAGTAAATTTATCTGATACTTAAAACAACTTCATACATATGGGTGTATATATACGTAGTTTTGGTTGTTGCTAACTGATTTAAATTATCATATGTAGAATAATTTTTTTCCCTCTTTTAGAATTATAAATTATTTGATTGGTAATCTGGTGCAAAGGACTGTTTGGGTCGATCAACTAGGGCAATGAGACCGGGTTTACAAAACCGATGGAATTTCGTGGGGTTTTCGTAAAACCGCTAGATCTCGGTTTGTGAAAATCGATCAGTATTAGCCCGTTTTCATACGGTATTGATGGAAAGTTATCAATTTTTACTGGTTTTCGGTCGGATTTCGGTAAACCGCTGAGGAGCGGTTTTTCTTTGAAATCGAAAAGTTTAACCATGAGGCAATGAGTAGCTTGAAATCGAAAAGTTTAACCCTGACTGTTCCTTCTCTCTCATTGTATTTTACTTCCTCATTTCAATGGCTAGGATTGTTCCTTGCTATTTTGTCATTTTATGGATCCAACTGCCATTATTTAACAGATGACGAAGAATCCTTGCTATTTTGTCATTTTATGGATCCAACTGCCATTATTTAACAGATGACGTGGCTCGTCCTGGTTGCTATTGAGTTTTACTTTCCAATTAGATAGATGTGATTGCAAAACTAATGTAAACTAATGTTACATCTCCTATATCACGTGTAAATCAAATGAATAGCCTACAGAGCTTGATGTTACAATACGAGCATGCCAAACGGCCTCATGGAAGATCGCTTCTTCAATGTTTCGGAAACGAGGGCAGCTACACAATGGGATCCCGTTGCTACGGGATACTTTAAGTGACTTATCCCTTTCCTTTCTTTTGTATAGGTGAGATTCCACGTGTGCTCCCCTGGTACCTGGTACCATGTACTAGAGGTACCAGAGGCACGATACCTATCCGGTTCCTACTCGGTATCGCGCGCGTGATACCTCTGTTGGAATTAATGAATGGGCCTTAGCCCACTCGAAGATTAATTCTTTGGAAAATCACAAAAGCCCACCTCATGGGATGGCATGCATGTGGAGTTTAGTACCACCTTGCTTATTCTAGGAGAGGGGAACCTCCTTAAAAGGGAGGATGCCCTCCTAGCCACTTGAAGCATGTGTGGTGGAGAGAAGAGGGGAAACACGCGCGCGCGCTCGCTCGCCTCGCCTCGCCTGGCAGGGCAGGCGGCGCGCGTGCACGACGTACGCGTCGAATGGTCCGAAAAATTGGCTCCTCACCCTTGCGCAGATGCAGCCTCCTTTTGCAGTTTTGTTTTGCTGCAAATTCGGATTCGTTTTGTTTTGGAAACGTTCCGAAAAATCCGGTGCGTGCAAACGGCGTGGAGTCCGGATAAGTTACGCGCGACTTATCCGGTTCGGTTACGCGCAGTAGAGATCGTGCGGGCGCCCTGATCAAGCGACCCTTCTCTATATAAACCGACCCGCCGTCTTCACGCAATATATGCAAAAATCAATCTAGGGTTTGCCTCCTACTCTGTACTGCGCCGTCGCTCGTAGACTACTCCATCCCGCTCGCCGGCGTGCACCAGCGATCGGGAGAGCAGGTCTCCGGAACCTCTGCCTTTGACGTCCTGCACCGGGAGAAGGCGGCAATAAGGTTTTTGGGAAGCGCTTCGCGCGACTGCTCCCTGTTCGTTCGCGACGGCTCGCCTTTCTCTTCGCTCGCGTGTTTCGTGCCTTCGTAGACACCTGCGAAAAGTTTCGACCAAGCAGCCGGTCTTTTCGTCACCTCGGTACGTGTTCAATATGTTGCGCATATTTGATCTGTTCATGTTATTCTGCGTAGTTTACATGTGTAGATCTAATGATGCGTTCATGCTAGTTTTCATCTGTAATGTCATGATTTATTTATGGAATAAATTAAATCATTATATGCCCATAATCTCAACAATCCAAAAACCTTATTATAGGCACTGTGATTTTACTATGGCTGGTTTTGCCGATGCACTGAGGCCGGATAAATTCACCGGTGTGCATTTTAAGAGATGGCAGATTAGGGTCACTCTGTGGCTGACAGCTATGAAATGCTTCTGGGTGAGTACTGGCAAACCTGAAGGAGTTCTTACTGCTGAACAGCAGAAGCAATTCGAGGAAGCCACTACTCTCTTTGTGGGATGCATTCTTAGCGTTCTTGGCGATCGTCTGGTCGAGGTGTATATGCATATGACCGACGCTAAGGAGTTGTGGGATGCACTGAATACTAAATTCGGTGCTACTGATGCTAGCAATGATCTGTATATCATGGAGCAGTTTCATGACTACAAAATGGCTGACAACCGTTCTGTAGTCGAACAGGCTCATGAGATACAAACCATGGCTAAGGAACTCGAACTCCTTAAGTGTGTCTTACCCGACAAATTTGTGGCCGGGTGCATTATTGCAAAACTACCTCCATCTTGGAGGAGTTTCGGTACTGCACTCAAACACAAGAGACAGGAATACTCCGTTGAGGGGTTGATTGCGTCTCTTGATGTTGAGGAGAAAGCTCGGGAAAAAGATGCCGCGTCTAAGGGCGATGGTGGGCAGTCCAGTGCCAATGTTGTGCACAAGGCCCAGAACAAGAGCAAGGGGAAATACAAAGCTCAGCAGACCACCAACTTCAAGAAGCAGAAGAAGAACAACAACAATCCTAATCAGGATGAGAGGACTTGCTTTGTGTGTGGCCAAGTTGGTCATCTGGCTAGGAAGTGTCCACAACGCAAGGGGATGAAGGCACCTGCAGGGCAGACTTCTAAGTCTGCTAATGTGACCATTGGCAACACTGGAGATGGAAGCGGGTATGGTAATTTACCTACTGTTTTTTCAGTTAATCAATCTACTAATTGGAGGGTTGATATTGGGGCCAATGTACATGTTTGTGCTGACATCTCATTGTTTTCTTCTTATCAGGTCGCACGGGGTTCCACCGTCCTAATGGGGAATGGGTCACATGCTTCTGTTCATGGTGTTGGCACGGTAGATCTGAAGTTTACTTCGGGAAAGATCGTGCAGCTGAAGAACGTGCAGCATGTCCCTTCTATCGACAGGAATCTTGTTAGTGGCTCCCGTCTGACTAGAGACGGATTTAAGTTGGTTTTTGAGTCTAATAAAGTAGTCGTGTCTAAACATGGATATTTTATTGGTAAAGGTTATGAGTGCGGAGGCCTGTTCCGCTTTTCCCTTTCTGATTTCTGCAATAAGTCTGTGAACCATATTTGTGGCAGTGTGGATGATGAGGCTAATGTTTGGCATTCACGTTTATGTCATATTAATTTTGGCTTGATGTCTCGGCTTTCCAGCATGTGTTTAATTTCTAAGTTTTACATTGTCAAAGGTTCTAAGTGCCATAGTTGTGTGCAATCGAAGCAACCTCGCAAGCCTCACAAGGCTGCCGAGGAGAGAAACTTGGCACCACTAGAACTCCTACATTCAGATCTTTGTGAAATGAATGGGGTGTTGACGAAGGGTGGAAAACGATATTTCATGACATTGATTGATGATGCTACTAGATTTTGCTATGTGTACTTGTTGAAAACGAAAGACGAGGCTCTAGACTATTTTAAAATTTATAAGGCAGAAGTTGAAAATCAACTTGACAGAAAGATAAAAAGGCTTAGGTCTGATCGTGGTGGAGAGTTTTTCTCGAACGAGTTTGACTTATTCTGTGAGGAACATGGCATCATACATGAGAGGACGCCTCCCTATTCTCCCGAGTCTAATGGGATTGCTGAAAGGAAGAACCGCACACTGACTGACTTGGTGAATGCCATGTTGGACACCGCGGGACTGCCTAAGGCATGGTGGGGGGAGGCATTGTTGACCTCAAATCATGTGTTAAACAGAGTTCCTAACAGAAATAAGGACAAAACACCATATGAGATATGGATTGGTAGAAAACCATCACTTTCTTATTTGCGCACATGGGGGTGCTTGGCGAAAGTCAATGTACCAATAACGAAGAAGCGCAAACTTGGACCTAAGACTGTGGACTGTGTTTTTCTAGGATATGCTCATCATAGCATTGCCTATAGATTTTTAATAGTTAAATCCGAGGTACCGGACATGCATGTTGGTACAATTATGGAGTCTCGTGATGCTACCTTCTTTGAGAGCTTTTTCCCAATGAAGGATACACATAGTGGTTCGAACCAACCCTCTGAAATAATTCCCAGTTCAATCACACCACCAGAACAAACTGAACATACACATGAACTTGTCTCTGAGGAGGATGTCAGTGAAGCTCCTCGAAGGAGTAAGAGACAAAGGACGGCTAAGTCTTTTGGTGATGATTTCACCGTGTACCTCGTGGATGACACTCCTAAGTCAATTTCAGAAGCATATGCATCTCCTGATGCAGACTACTGGAAGGAGGCTGTCCGTAGTGAAATGGATTCCATTATCGCTAACGGGACTTGGGAGGTGACAGAGCGACCCTATGGGTGTAAACCTGTGGGGTGCAAGTGGGTGTTCAAGAAGAAGCTTAGGCCTGACGGTACTATTGAAAAGTACAAGGCTCGGCTTGTTGCTAAGGGCTATACTCAGAAAGAAGGCGAAGATTTCTTTGACACTTACTCACCTGTTGCTAGATTGACCACAATTCGTGTGCTACTTTCCCTAGCAGCCTCACATGGTCTTCTCGTTCATCAAATGGACGTTAAGACAGCTTTTCTTAATGGAGAGCTGGATGAGGAGATCTATATGGATCAACCTGATGGGTTTGTAGTTGAAGGTCAAGAAGGCAAAGTGTGCAAATTGTTGAAGTCTTTGTATGGTCTGAAACAAGCTCCTAAGCAATGGCATGAGAAATTTGACAAAACATTGACATCTGCAGGCTTTGCAGTCAATGAGGCAGATAAATGTGTGTACTATCGCCATGGTGGGGGTGAGGGAGTTATTTTGTGCTTGTATGTTGACGACATACTGATATTTGGGACAAACCTTGAGGTGATAAATGAGGTTAAATCATTCTTGTCTCAAAATTTTGATATGAAAGATTTGGGAGTAGCTGATGTTATCTTAAACATTAAGCTAATTAGAGGTGAGAATGGGATTACTCTCTTGCAGTCCCATTATGTGGAGAAGATCTTGAATCGCTTTGGCTACATTGATAGTAAGCCTTCTCCAACACCTTATGATCCTAGCTTGTTGCTTCGCAAGAACAAGAGAATTGCTAGGAATCAACTGGAATACTCCCAAATCATTGGCTCGTTGATGTACCTGGCTAGTGCAACTAGGCCTGATATCTCCTTTGCTGTGAGCAAGTTGAGCCGATTTACTTCTAATCCGGGAGATGATCACTGGCGTGCGCTTGAGCGAGTAATGCGCTATCTGAAAGGTACTGTGGAATTGGGGCTTCACTATACTGGGTATCCTGCGGTACTGGAGGGTTATAGTGATTCTAACTGGATCTCTGATGTGGATGAGATCAAAGCCACTAGTGGATATGTATTCACACTGGGTGGTGGTGCTGTTTCATGGAGGTCTTGCAAACAGACAATTTTGACGAGGTCAACCATGGAAGCAGAGCTAACGGCACTGGATACTGCTACTGTTGAGGCAGAATGGCTGCGTGATCTATTAATGGATCTGCCTGTTGTTGAAAAACCGGTGCCGGCTATCCTTATGAACTGTGACAATCAAACGGTAATTGTCAAAGTGAATAGTTCTAAGGATAATATGAAATCGTCTAGACATGTGAAAAGACGATTGAAGTCTGTCAGGAAATTAAGAAACTCCGGAGTTATAACGTTGGATTACATCCAAACAGCGAGAAACCTGGCAGATCCCTTCACGAAGGGACTATCACGAAATGTGATAGACAATGCATCGAAGGAGATGGGTTTGAGACCCATGTGAGTTATACTATGGTGGTAACCCAGTCTATGTGATCGGAGATCCCGTGAATTAGATCCTGGGAAGAACAAACCATTAATAAACTAGAGGAGAGTACCAATATATATACCCTATCCAAGTGAAGATGCATATACTCTCGTGAGCTGCAAGGCAGGTTGGCTATGCCTTAATGAGTTCTGTTGGCTTTAATTAGCAAAGATGTTGTCCTGCAGAGCATTCTTGAAGGAACTCACCTTTGTGAGCTTGACTGTTGGTCGCAGTCTATGAAGATTTTGGGTGAATCTTCTAGGAAGCTTACTAAAGACCTAGGAGTATGACTTATACGCTCCACCCGAGGGGTAGTCTACAGACGGTCTAGTACCAGATAAGACTTTGAGTGAAACTTGCTTGCACAAGACTTGCAATTCAAGGCGTAGTCCATTGTTCAAGTTGTGAGTAAGTGTAGCTTGGAGTTCTAGATGGATGTTCAACCTTAATTGGTCTCCATCGAACCGCTGGTATATAAACAGTACATTGGAAAAGGCAAATCTCAGTGGGATTTTGAGATTTGGTGGGGGATTGTTGGAATTAATGAATGGGCCTTAGCCCACTCGAAGATTAATTCTTTGGAAAATCACAAAAGCCCACCTCATGGGATGGCATGCATGTGGAGTTTAGTACCACCTTGCTTATTCTAGGAGAGGGGGACCTCCTTAAAAGGGAGGATGCCCTCCTAGCCACTTGAAGCATGTGTGGTGGAGAGAAGAGGGGAAACACACGCGCGCGCTCGCTCGCCTCGCCTCGCCTGGCAGGGCAGGGCAGGGCAGGCGGCGCGCGTGCACGACGTACGCGTCGAATGGTCCGAAAAATTGGCTCCTCACCCTTGCGCAGATGCAGCCTCCTTTTGCAGTTTTGTTTTGCTGCAAATTCGGATTCGTTTTGTTTTGGAAACGTTCCGAAAAATCCGGTGCGTGCAAACGGCGTGGAGTCCGGATAAGTTACGCGCGACTTATCCGGTTCGGTTACGCGCAGTAGAGATCGTGCGGGCGCCCTGATCAAGCGACCCTTCTCTATATAAACCGACCCGCCGTCTTCACGCAATATATGCAAAAATCAATCTAGGGTTTGCCTCCTACTCTGTACTGCGCCGTCGCTCGTAGACTACTCCATCCCGCTCGCCGGCGTGCACCAGCGATCAGGAGAGCAGGTCTCCGGAACCTCTGCCTTTGACGTCCTGCACCGGGAGAAGGCGGCAATAAGGTTTTTGGGAAGCGCTTCGCGCGACTGCTCCCTGTTCGTTCGCGACGGCTCGCCTTCCTCTTCGCTCGCGTGTTTCGTGCCTTCGTAGACACCTGCGAAAAGTTTCGACCAAGCAGCCGGTCTTTTCGTCACCTCGGTACGTGTTCAATATGTTGCGCATATTTGATCTGTTCATGTTATTCTGCGTAGTTTACATGTGTAGATCTAATGATGCGTTCATGCTAGTTTTCATCTGTAATGTCATGATTTATTTATGGAATAAATTAAATCATTATATGCCCATAATCTCAACAACCTCATCGCCGGTGTCGCTCCTCTGCAGCCGGAGCAGCACAGCACAGGCTGGTACCTGGTACCTGATACCTAATACTAGCTACCGGATACCTGGTACTCATACCTGATACCTGGTACCTGATACCTGGTATCAGTATGGTACTAACTGCATGGGGCATGGTGTGTGGTACTTGGTACCTATAGAATTGGAGGATTCAAGATGATAGGACAGGGGAATCGATACTGTCCATATAAGCTGGAGAAAAAATCAGCAAGGAAATCACAAGCAAAAAAAATAGAAAAATACACATGAGGAAGGGATGCAAAGCGGCTGTGAAGCACTGCCAACGTGGGGGGAGGGGGGTGGAGAAATCAGTCAGAGTGGAATGGAGTGCGAGAGGTACCTGCAGGTATCGAAGGAAGGGAAGCAAAGTAGCGGCGTAGCACTGGCGGCATGAGGAGGCGGATTGACGGAGGGGAGTGACGATGGAAGGTAGAGGGACGGAGGAGCTCGCGGTCCTCGTCGGCAGGGGCGCGACGACGCGAGAGCTCGCACGCTGCTTTGCCGCTGTGCCGCACGTTCTTGAGCCGGCGGGAGCAGCTCCGCGCGACGCCGTCTTCCCTGTCGCCGGTGGAGGAGGGAGAGCAAGACGCCGGCGAAGCACCGCCGCGCGTAAGCGACGGCGAGGACGACGGAAGCCGCTGGAGATTCGCCGCCGCCGTGAATGGCAACGACACTGATGAAGTCATCTAGAACGCCACCATTTTTCCAAGAGTCACGGGTGGGTGGAGGAAAATGAAGCAGGCACTAAACGCTTCTGTTCAGAAAAACGGTTTATACACTAATTAATCGCGTCGCTATCGGTAATTGCAAGTTTAAGTTCTCCCGTTACAACGGAAAGCCGTGGAGTAGATTCTCTGTTCGGAAATCTCTTCTTTTTCTTTTCATTTCATGCATTCATGGTCTGCGCACAGTATAGCGCGCGTTTATTGCTAGTTCTGTTTAAGGCAACCATGCGCAGGAATATGCCCAAGTTCAAGATTTGAATGCAAAATGATCGAGATAAATGAAGACCTATCTGGTTCAAGCTGGACGCTAAACATGAAGACATGGTGCTTACTGAAGCAGATTGAAAAATAAATACAACACCTATCTGGTTCAAGCTGGACGCTAATCATGAAAGCATGGTGTTTATTGCAGCAGATGGCAGACTAAGAGGGCTTCTGCTGGTGGCATAACAGCTTGACATCTCATGGTCAAGGACGCATTACTGGCCCTTGTCATTTGGGGGCAAAGACCTCCAGATTCCAGCTAAAAGGCTACCATACACCGAATGGCAGACGCTAGAAACAGCACAGGGAACTGCTGTGAGAGGATTTCCAAAATGCTTGCTCGCAAGAACTACACCCAGCACCGAATTCTGCAGGCAGGAAAATCATGCAAAGAAAATGAACTGATACATGAATGATGGTAAGAGTATGACATTTGTTCCATAGGTTGCAATGGGAAAATGATAGGACGTATATGTATGCGCGTATGGCTTTCTAGCAATAGTTCATTTTAATAATATCCTAATACAAGCATGAGTTGCAATCTCAATTGTAACATGGTAAGCTAAATGTCTGTGCTTTGCTGCGGATAAAAGGAAAAATATCACAATATTTTCTAAAATAAATAAATCATATTTTCCATGAAATATGTTACCCACATTCTCCCTATCCACATTAATTTTATATGTGGCCATCTATTTAGATTTAGTTGTTATGTAATATTAAGAAGTTCAAGGGGTAACATGTAAAAATTGCAGCAGGAGTAGATGAAGTGGCAGATTCACTGCCACCACCATTGGAGTCCTTTTAAAGGAGTACAAATAATGAGACTTCCGTTATAGAAATACTCCATCCGTCCCATAACATAAGGGATTTTGGAGGGACGTGACACATCCTAGTACGAATATGGACATGGATTAGTTGCAATGTTAAAACAATCTGGACATGTTTATTCCAAAGGCATGGCATGACAACAGGACAAAATTAATATCTAAGTTAGAAAACCATGGCATGGTTTAGCAACAAGCCACTTTTTTTAATTAGGAAGAGAAGGAACTGTAAATTTGCTTGTAAGTTGCAAACAAAAGGAAGAAATTACCTGCATGCCAACCTCAATAGAGATTGTTCGTGATGAAGAGATATCGATGCCAATCGTTCTAGAAAGAACATAACCAAAGAAAAAGCCAGATGCATGCAACCAACAAACAGACATAACCACTTGTAGACCGGATGATAGAATGGCTGAAGCATTCTGTGCGATAGCATTGCCACAAAGAACAGCTACAGTTGCCACAGCAATGAATGGCATCAAGGGAGAAACTAACTGAACTAAACCGTTGCAGTACTGATTAAGTAGAGCACCAAGTAGCACAGGTGCTAGGACAACCTGCGTTCATGTATATCCAACTTAGCTAGGAGTAAGGAAATTCAGCAGTATAACATCAGATTGATTTCCAGCACCTGAGATGTTGACACAAACAATCCCATTGGATCTACTGCAACATATTGTCCCGCCAGTTTGGATGTCAGAAGAGGAGTTAAGAACTGCATCAGGAAGTTACAAAAGCATAAAAAAGAGCTTTTGGAGTTCAGTTTAAAGATAAAAACAGATCTGAGAGTGGTTCATTACCGCTGCAGCAAAAGTGCTTGCTGCTGTCATCAGTACCGAAAGAGCAACATTTCCCCTGCCACACAGTGATGCTAATTTGTGTTAATTGTGTGCATTTTCATGATACTAAAAAGAACAGAAAGATGTCCTCTCATAGTGCCACAAATTTGTCCACATATTGTGCAGTTAATAATGCATCTTCTAATATTTTTGCTATAGAAATTTGATGCAAATGCTCAATTTCATAGAAAATACATTTGTGTCAAAAGTCAAAGGAGAGAATGAACTCCAGTCTAATTCAAGATACACCTGAAATTTATTACTCAGCTAGAGAACAGGTTATTTTGTTTACATTTCTGTTTTATGCATCACGGGGATCCACTAATTCAACCATATAGTTAGGATACTGGCTGCTGGGGTCCACTTGACAGTAAGAGAGGAAGAAGACAGGGATACTTTGGGTAATTCAAGTGATAATGTGGCAAATGAGAGGATATCCCCCTAGTTACCCTCAACCATGTGGCAAATCTGCAAAGCACCTCAACTTTGTCGAATTCTGGCAATTTTCCCTATTTCATAGGCTTGTGTCATAGTCAGCGTGAAAAATTATCAACAGATTGACACATTTTCCAACATTTTGTAACAAGGCCATGACTAAATGAAGATTGCTACTCCCTCTGTCCCACAATAAGTGCACTTCTAGGATTCAAAAAACATTATCAGGGGTGGGAAATGACCTAGATGCCCCTCATTAAATGAGGTGATTGGGAGCCAAGGGTGCTTGGGGGTAAGATGGGGAGAAATTTGAATGATGGATGATTGGAAGGAAAAGTAGTACTCTAGAAGTACACTCTTTTTGGGACAAAATTCAAATACTAGAAGTGCCCTTATTGTGGGATGGAGAGAGTACATTAATATTTTTTCTCATTACCTTGCTAAATATGTAACAATGTTGCTTGCTGTGCCTGCAAAGAGTATTTGCCTTTCTCAGTTTAAAATCTGGCACCAATATAAACAAAAAGACTAAAGTGTGTGCACACCTCCAGGGCAACAGGACACCAATATCAATCCAGCAGCATAATAGGATGGTAAGTTTAATAGCTTGCTGATGAGAAATCCTGACAGTGGCATCACCTGTACATAAATCATTAGCTCTAGACTTTTGGATATAACATGGAAACAGCAAACCACAAAAACATGCATAATCACAATGAAGTTTAAATGTACGATCCTCTGCACTGGTAGTGTACAAACAAATAAGAATTCGATATGGTTTTTTCTAAATGCATAGCATGTCAGCTGCACATGATAATCTTGATGAATGTATAGAACATCTGTCCATTGATTCAACAAAGGATCTTTTTTTTGACGAAAATGATTCAACAAAGGTTCCTACACCTCTAGTAATAGGCAAGTCCAAAACTGCAGCTATTTTGTTTTTTAATTGAAATGATGATCTCATGGCCTGTAAGGTTATGAAATGAAGTGGCCAGCAAGTTTGGGAACTGACCGAGTATTGAAGTAAAAACCCAGATGCTAACTCCTTGGGCATCAATAGTGCAGTTTTCAGGTCATCTAATGTCAATGTCATTCCCATTCCTGAACAAAATAAATTCAACTATATATCAGTCACAAAATTCAACTAACTTAAACCGCCATGCACAAGAAAATTCAGTTCACAGCACCCTTCTCTCTTCAAGAATAAAATTGACAACAATATAAGGAAAAGAATTTCATGTCTGTCAATGACCAATCTATGTATAACCAGCCATCTCTGATATTTGATGTTTCAGGTGACATGTGCTAAAAATTACTCCCCTCCATTCCAAATTGATCTACATATAGTTTTTTTGAGGTTATTCCTAAATGATCTACATATTTGTGTTCATTTATTAAGTCTATTCGTTATTTGTGCATTGGAGTAAATGGACATTGATGCATGCATCCATGCACACAAGTACTTATAACCCACATGCAATATCTTGATTTGCTATTGGCTAGGAAATATTGGGGATGGTGCATGCATCGAGTTTGTTGCTAAAATAAATATAGTATGAGAGAGTTATTAGCTTTTCTTGATCTTGGTGTACCTATGAAATATGTAGATCAATTTGGAACGGAGGGAGTATATTGAAGAAACCTTTTATGCATATGTAGTAAAGCTAACACTTCCATCTTCAATGTTAGAACCATCACAAACAAAATTGATTTTTTGAGTGCAGGCATGGTGATACAACAACACAGAAGGAAAGTAGAAACTACTAAGTAGTAGAGGGGATGAATAGTACAGACCCAGCATGGTAAAGGAAATGCCGACAATCTGGGCCATGGGACTGACCCAGAGGAAGGCCGGTGGCCGCCAAAGCGCAACGGCGCAAGCGGACGCCACCCACACTGGGAACCCAAGCGACAGCACCTCGCCAACCTGCAAAAGCAGATCCCGCCAACCTACAACTCCAGCCTCCAATGCACCGCTGCCACCTCCTGGTATCTTGGAGGGCGCCGGATCAGCAGCCGCATGGCACCTGCTCGACGGAATGCCACAAAGGTGTCGAACCGGGTTGCTGCTGCTGTATCGGATGCGAAGGCAGGTGACAGGGAGAGATGAGACGGTAGCTCTATGACGGGTGTTGTGTGTACTGAAGAGGTGAAGGCGCTTGTCATGGTGGATCGGGGTGCGGTGGGGAGCAGCCGGCGGCCGGCGGAGGAGAGGCATGACGTGGGATGTTGACCTGTCACCTTCAACGATTACTGGAAACAAATGTGAGTCCAAGATTCAGCAAAGTATATGATATAAATAGTGAACATCTTAGAGAAAATAGTCCATGTTCAGGTTAAGCATTCTCATAGCCACAAATGCAATGCATAAGTAGTCTACATGCTCATTTGCTCGTCCCGTCACATATAGCATGGTTCAAATCCAATGTTCAAACATATGCAATCAACCAACCATCCCTCAATCCCTGGATTCAAATGGTAAAAAAAAATGCTCCTAATCCAAAATCACAGCACTACATACAGTAGGTCAGTAGCAGTCTAGCAAGACAATAGTTAGTACTAGTTACCTTTGGCCGTTGGGAGTTGGGACTTGGGCGTCTCGGCCTCTTGGGGGCGGCGGCACGGCGCGGCGCGGCGCGGGGTGGATTGGATACGAGGCGCGACGGCGCCACCCAAAAGACGCGGCGAGCCGGCGACGGGTGACGGGCGACCACCGACGGCGCGGCGGCACGACGCGAAGGCGGGAGGGATTGGCGGCGGCGGCGTCACGGACGCACGGCACGTCGGCGTCGCGGCGTCGGATGGGCGGCGGCGGCGGCGCGTCTTCCTGTCGAGCGTCGAGAGGAGGTGGAGACTGGAGAGCGAGTGAGCGACCGGGGATCTGGGAATGGGGAGGAGTTGGGGGCAAATTCTATTTTTGGTCTTTCTTTTTTTTTCTTTCCCTAATTGGGCTTATTTATAAGAATGGATATTTTTTTAAAGCATATACTCCTACTAATAGTATATTTATAAGAATGGAGTATATTGGAACATATCAGGATATAACATATCCTATGTATACAATGTGCACACCACATGCACACCAATTAGCAAATATCACGAAAAATTCTAAAAAAAACATTTACTCCTAATAGTATACACATATATGCAAAGTCTCGTATTCAAATTCATTATATTTTAGCCGTAATAAAAAATTAAAAATTTGATAGTTTAAGGCGTAAAAATTTGTCAGAATTATATCTTTTTTGTTACTGCTAAAATATAATAAATTTGAATATAAGATTTTACACGTAGGTGTAATACTATTGAAAATATGTGTCCAATTTTCTGCGACATTTGCTAGTTAATGTACACTGGAAGCTTGTATGCATAGGATATGTTTACATGTACATATGAAATATATATACTTCATTTTCACGTTGCTGACTTCATTTACCATGTATCATGTTCATGGAACATCATGAAGGAATAGGTTAAGCCCTCTTTGTTTACGTTTATAAGTCGGCTTATGAGTTAAAAAGTTCAAGTCTAAACAAATAAGCAGTTTTTTCGTTTGGTTTTTTAAAAGTCATCACTCTTACACTATGAAGCTAAAAGCTAGGTTGGAGAAGCTTTTTTAGCTTATTTGAGATAGAAGTATGACACCACCCTTAAATTTGGGACTTTAAATCCACCAGCTTATAAATCATATAAGCCAAAAAAAACTAATATAAAGATTTAAGCCAATAAGTCTAAGCCTAAACAAAGAGAACCTAAATAGACGTCCTATTTTAGAGTCTTGTTCTTATTGGAGAGGAGACGTAGGAATTTGGTCAATGCTAGGAGCTTGCTCTTCATCTTTGTCATCAGATGATTGCACAACCAGTTTATGTTTCTTTATCTCGGCCTTCTTCATGCTTTGTTCGGAGGCCAACCTATTGTTCTCTTGGGGGGTGGGGGGTTGCCTACTGAAGGTCCTCTAGCAGCCTATCCGGCGCCGCTAATGGTTCTCCTTGGCGAGTGATGAGTAGGCGTAGGAGGGTCAAAGATTATAAGTTTGTTTTCCTGCACAAGTGAATTTTGATGGTTCATATCGATAAAACCGTTGAAACATTTGGATTATAGACAGGGTTCAAAGCTGCATACTGGAGGAGGAGGGTTAAATAAGTGAAAGGGCACCACTAGGAGTTTGTGAGAAACATCTACGGTGATCCCAGAGGAGAACACCTTACATCCTCTTGCATACGAGTTCATAGCCTAGTTATTCTGGATCTTCTTGGTTTGGATCCTTTTGACCCTGGTATTCAAATGTTGACTTGGCTCTGTCTTTGATTGGAGCCAGTCGACACTTGATGAAGTGTCAAGTGACTTGTTCTTCTACTATACCTTTTCTCATTTATGGCATTTATTTTGGAGAGGAATCCTTTCTGCTTCGGCTTTATCCTGGCCTTCAGGCATGGAATTCCAATCGAAGTTGTAGATTGGAGGAAGACCGATGAAATCAAGGCAAGCAAGAAGAGGGTTGGAGATGTAGAACCAATTTTGTGCCAACCATTGTTGGTGGACTTCAAGGGAAGAGCGAGATAAAAATTTCCGGAGGTCACCACACAACTAGAATTTGGAGCTGCCTAGTACACAAGGATTTTCTTTAGTGGGTCGGGTTTTCAGAGAGAACATATACCGGAAGAGGCAGGGCCGGCTCTACATATTTTAGGGCCCTAGGCCAACTCCATGACATGGGCTCTCAGGCATACACTCTCACTATATATACACATATTTGTTTTGAAACACTCTCTCTCTATATACACATATGCACTTTGGATTTTTAAAGTATACTTTTAAAGCATTCATCCGCTAATCACGCTGAAAATAAATATCGATAATATCCTCTATATATGTTGCTAAAAATACAAAAAGAGCATTAAAATGGAATTACTATGGTTACCTTGAATTCTTGACTAAGGATCAAGCTCCAGGGACTTCATTAATAATACTTGACAAAAGATAAGATGACAGACATCCATTTGCTTCTCATAAAAAAATACTTCTTCGAGCATTTCTTGATGCAAAATCATTAATGACGGTATCGAGACCAATATTGTCCAAGACATTCTTCTCAATGCAGCACATAGCCGAGCCATTTAATCTTTCTTGTGACATGGTTGATCTCAAATAGTTTTTCAATAACTTTAATTTTGAGAAGCTTTTTTTTTCAGCTGAGGCTACTGTCACAGGTACGGTTAAGATAGATTCGATAGGCAACTGAAACATTTGGATAGCAATCTGCAGCTGTAATGAATTCAAGAATCTCAGGTACACTATGGTTGCAGCACAACAGTGCGCAAGTACCTGTAAATTGAAACCTGCAGACACTCTGGAAGTTGAGGCAGATTCATGTTGTGTCGGCCGATGTCGAGGGCGAACAGAGTCAACAGACAAAGGCATAAAGCTGTGAAGGGCTAAATGCTGAAGGGATCGCCAACGGTCCGGCGTAGGACGAACTTGTGGAGGCGCCATGGAGAGCGCTGGAGGCGGATTGGCGGAGACTGCCGCCGGCAGAGGAGAGGAGATGAGAAGACAAAAGTTTGGAACTCGGACGGTCGCGTATGCCCGGCGCTTATGCGGGCAACGATTCGACCAGAAACTTGTATACATGCATATGGTATACCTAATACATACCTAGGTCTGGACCCCTACTTTTCCTAGGCCCTAGGCCATCGCACTTCTTGCCGTAGCCCAGAGCCGGCCCTAAGAGGTTAAAATGCGTCACGATTCTAAGAAATATCTCGCACAAATGAATAAAAATGGCGATATGGAGAATTGAATTGGGATTTAGATAATAAATTTTTATCCCATACAAATCAGGAAGACTCCGGAAGAATTTGGAAGTATGAAGACAAATGCCCGCTTTAGAATAAAGGTGTAAATACCACTATTTCTGTGGTGTTAGGTGTCGGGTATTCTTCACCGTGCACCGACTGCCACTTGATGAGTTCCTTCACTGGGTGCACGCCATCTTCTACCATATCGCGCAGGTGCTTCTCCTCCACATCTGAGGTGGCTCGCTGATCAAAGGGGATTTTTCTCTCTTCCACCATGGGCAGAAAAGAGGGAGCTCGGATTAGGGTTTCTTGTTGGAGCTTTGGATGCGGAATGCTAGGACGGATGGAGGGCGCTTGTGCGTAGCAAGATTTGGGAGAGATTTGGTATTGGATTGAGTGGAAAAGGTCAAACCTAGCTTCGACGGCGACAGGTGGTGAACAAAAGCGCAAAAGTTTTCAAGGAAGACAAAGCAGTGGAGAAGACGACAGGTGGTGAACAAAGGCGCTGTTACGCATTTTATTTGCAATGCAGTTGGTTTAGTGCTATGCACTTGATTTTATAAAGTCACGTATACATGTTTTGTTTTTCTTGGACTAGTATCATTGGCTTAATGCTATACAGTATATGGCATTTTGGTTATTTAATTGGCGGTTGGTACTTGGTAACACCACATATGCCGTATTTTTCGTAATATATGAAATCACTCGGATGTTTAATTTCTTATTCTTGACTTTACGTTTTGTTGCTTTCAACTAATCATGTATTCAGGGCTACACCTAATTAGGTGTATCTATTAGTTAGTTTTCATTATTCTCATTTTTTTCAGATAAGAGCTCCACATCCTCTTGCAAGCATCATGATGACGGGATAGGAGAAAAAGCACTCGGAAGATTACAATGAGAATATTGGAGCACTTGGCTTTTTATTGAACAAGCTTGGGATAATATTTTTTTTTCGATTGTAAAGGTCTCGGGGCTGTTGTGGAGATTATGAGTATCCCATACCCACTCGGTCTGCTTATCCGACTAGAGATAGGAGGTGGGCCGGATCTATGTATTATTTAATAGGTTAGGACTTGGGAATTATATTGCCTTGTTTCTTACTGCATGGCCATAGTTCTTATTAGATACAATTATGTAAACATAAAAAGAAACCGATGCCATGTCTGTCTAACTCTTCCTCTTCGTAACTTTGCTCCCAACCTATATAAGATGAACAAGAAGCACGACTAAATCGTCAGATCAATACAACACCTGACGGATTCAATCCTCAAGCAGGAGTAGGGCATTACTTCTCATCGAGAAAGCTTGAACCTGTCTAAACCTCGTTCCCTTTACTCATCCTCTTTTATAGAACTCATGCGCTACTCTTTTTCTTATTGGCGATTTCTATAATCGATAATTCTTTTAGTAGTAGGTTACTTACGTTGACATTGAGGTACCAGTGATGACTTAATCGATCTCAAGATATACTAGTCTGGAGGTGTTTATAGGAGTAGGATGATGTGTGTGTACGTTCATAAAATGGTGAGTCAAACATTATATATAGGCCGTGTTTAGATGAGACTAAAACTTAAGTCCCTATCACATCGGATGTTTGGACACTAATAATAAATATTAAATGTAGACTATTAATAAAACCTATTTATAATCTTGGACTAATTCGCGAGACTAATCTATTGAGGCTAATTAATCCATAATTAGCCTATGTGATGCTACAGTAAACATTCTCTAATTATGGATTAGTTAGGCTTAAAAAGTTTGTCTCGCGAATTAGTTTTTATTTTGTAAGAAGTCTATATTTAATAATTCTAAATTAGTGTCTAAACACAGAGACTAAAGTTAAGTCCCTGGATCCAAACACCACCATAATCGTACTCCCGTAACATAACTCTAAAGATAAACAAATAAAGTAGGTGTTTAGTTCTCTACATAAATAAACCATAAGTTTGAACTGGAACTCGACAAGACAATAATCCAAACATTATCTAAAATTGTATTGTAATATCCTGTAATAATATATAAGTTCAAAAAACAACCTATCACAAAAGGTAAATAAGGCAACAAACCAAAACTTAGTAAAACAAAGGTTGTGTTTTAGATCC